GTGAGATCTTGTGCCTTTTATACTGAACGATGCTTGTTATCAAATTGAAGTTTTTGACAGACGGTTTCCAAATTTTTTGGAGATAAAACGTCTCTTGCGAATCTGTCATTCGTTATCTGCAGTTTGTTTTGTTTTAGATAAGTGGATTTCCTGGGTTCTTAAAATATTTTAGTTGGTATAATCGATACCGAATGGAGACTAACAGCTTTCCAATGTCAAGCAATATAAGTGTCATATTATATAAGTGATCAGCTTGGAATAGAATGTAGCCTATGTGCTCAGGCTGTAGCTTGAAGAAACAAAACATAAATGCTCTTATAGTCTCGTATATCGTTGGGAATGGTGTTTCCGACAGTTCAAGTTGAACAGGCTGGTATTCAACTGTGCTCGAAGGAGAAAACATAGTAAATTATGAAACTTCGCACAAATGGTTCATAAAAATATAAAGAAAGTAGGACTGCATCTACAAATATTTTCACTTTCTCACTTACACTGCAATAAAGTGTTCTCACTTTCGAAGACCAATCTTTCCCCTTTCATTTTGGACCCCTGTTGCACGTATAGCGTAAGCGTGCCATTAAAACATGTGATAGCATAATATTATTATGGGACTGTATGGCAGGTGACACGGCTTCGATTTCCAAAAGTAAAGCTGTCCCTACCCCGGTTTTTTTCTTCCAATCGTGCTTGACCTAGTGCGCAAATCCGTGATAACCGTGGGGTTATTGTGGGGTTGCAGCTTTTTTTTTCAGGAACCGGAAACAGCAAGCTTTAAACTGTATGGGGCGAAAGTAACATCAAGTGACTTAATGACTTTACTTTTACCCGTTCGTAATCTTGGGATATACGAGGAGTGTTCAAGCCTCTGCTCACGGGAGGCTCTGTCTTAATCTCTTCAGAGGTGAGAGTTAAATCAGTGTCTGTTGTGCAATGGTTTGGCTCTTTGCTATTACAGACAGAAGGCTTGAGTTCGATTCCCTCTAAAAAGAAGGGTGGGGGTGTTTTATTAGGAATTTCCGCCTTTCCTCTTGGATATTGTTATCCAATCAGCGGAGGTTTGTCATGACAGGCACGGTTGAATTAGTCCAAAACAATCATCCAAAAAGATCTAAATTATGTGCGACGACGTGGGCGAAAAAACATTCCTAACCACAAACATTTTTCAGAAGTCATGCGTTTCTATTGACTGTAATGCATTACTACAAGGGGTATTTCTTTAAGCCTCGGATTGTATCCTCCTTCTTACATCTTACACGCTTTCAGCTTCACAAAAGCTAAGGAAGTAAACGAGCCGGTTATCATTTCACGCTCTCTCAGCGTCACAAATGGACAAAAAAATGTCCAAGTGGATTGGCCACTTTGTTTCTGTCCTCTGAAACATAATATTGAAACAATACTAAGACGAAAAGCTCCAAGCCGTGAGGTGTGGGCTTCCGGATAACTCAATGGATAAGACACTTAACAACGGTGTTGCCATCCTGGATTTTATTCAAGCAGAGACTTGCTCAAACCTATTTTGTTTTTGAAAGTTCTAAGCATACAAGAGGAGTACATTTAATTTTTGTATTTGTGTCGGGTCTGCAGTTTGATCGTATCCGGTCCGAAAATCAAACGGGTCGAAGGTCAAATATCCCACAGAATCAACAGCAGAAACCACTTGGGATATCAGACATCACATCAATAATGAATGAGCTGACTAACGTTCTATGTTTAACGAACTTTGGAGTCCAGAAAAGTGCTCAGGGGAGTCGGCTTAGACTGAGAAGATAGAGAAAGCTTTACACACTAACTGCAGAGCGCACGTAAGAGCATGAGGAACATACAATGTTCCTTGGGTTTGCTCACTTTCTTGCTGTCTTACGTCAGTTGTTTAACAGCGTGATGCTTCTTCAAGTCGGCGTTTCGTTTAGTGATAGGAAATTTCACCCATTATAATTATCAGTTATTAAATTGGATAACAGCATACTTTTTAAAATTCTGCAATATAATCCTCGATTTGACCCTAACTCGTCGGTTTCTCGTTATCTGCGTTTTATTATAATTATTATTATTATTATTATTATTATTATTATTATTATTATTATTATTATTATTATTATTATTATTTATTATATATTATTATCATATAATATTATTATTATTATCATTAAGAATATTATTATTATTATTATTATTATTATTATTATTATTATTATTATTATTATTATTATTATTATTATTATTATTGTTGTTGTTGTTATTACCATCATCATCATCATCATCATCATCATCATCATCATCATCATCATCATCATCACCATCATCATCATCATCATCATTGTTATTAGATATTCATAAAATCGTTACTTGTGCGTATTTAAATAAAAAGCTTTGTTTTGTTCTTAAAAGGATGATTTTTAAAAGTCATTTCTGGAGGGGGGGGGGCTTCTTTTTAGAGTCACAAAGAAGGGAGTAAACCAAACAGCGACGTACCTATTTGCAACGTACGATCTTTAGTTACCACAGTCAGCATCGATACTGTCTTGTTCAAACTTGGTCTACATTTCACAACATCGGTGGGAGAAAAAAAATATAATTTACGAGATATTACAAAAACGAAGAACACCCATATAACCCGGACCCCGTCGTTTACAAACCAGGATGAAACAACATCACGTTTCCTCCAAGAAGATACGTTGGATATATCATTTGAATTTGTTGTGGCTTTTTTCGGGGGGGGGGGTTCTTTTTTAAATGAAGCTATCTTCGATATTGACATTGCCAAGAAAGTTACTAGGGAAGAGAAACTGACAGTTGGTTTAAATATTTGCTGAGCTTTTTTTCCTAAATCTGTGGAGTAGTATACGCATGATCCCGGACCGTTACCTTTTTTTTTAAAGGTTGAATTTCGTCTTCTTCCTGTTTCGACGAGAGATTACTGCACATCATATTATTTTTCTTTTTTTTTATACCATTAGTGTCAGAGTTGTATTTAAGAAACACCAGATGTCTTAAAACGAGGACCCATTGATAACACAGTAACTCGATCATCTTTACATTAATCTAAACAACATTTTTAACAAATAGAATTTAACTAAGGAACACCAAATTTGACAATATAACTGAAATTGACCCGCGTATTCCAGAAATATAACTTTTCAAAATGTTAACCAAAGTTGTGTAAATAGCAAAACTTTACAACTTCCTATAGAGCAAGCATGCTGTGCACTCGTGCATTGCCAAATAAATTCAAATTCAAAGAAAGTGGCGGCTATTTAGATTGTATGCTCCAGATATTAATTGGCCATTTCTCCATGGTCAGGCTCGAATACGCTCCAAGAAATTTTGACTGACCCTCTGGCATATTCCTGGGTTGATTCTTTTGGACTTCCTGTTCAAAACCAGATTCAGCTGCTTGATTTGATTATTTTTTTCGAGCGGGGAGGGGGAGGGTAGTTTCTAGAAGAACATCAAAGGAAAACATTGCACTTCGAATGGGTCCTCATTTCTTGACACAATGACTATGCCAATGTCAGTTATAAACAAATGTGTTCTTAAATGCACAAATAGCCAGCACATGCTGGTTCATTTTTAAGAAGTTGTAAAGTTTTGCGCTTTTTTCAAACTCAATTTTAGTTCAACTTTGTTAAATGTTATGCTTCTCAAACACTGTATTTGATTTCCTTCATACTGTTAAATTTGACCTCACCTTGGTTGCATTTTATTTGTTCGCAGTTTTCTTCAAATTAGAGCAGAGATAACCAAATCATTGCCCTGTAAAGAGGTCATCTTTTTAGACAGACAGTACGTAAATGATGGCGTACGTGTACGTCCCTTTGTACACTTCTACATGAATACATGCAAACGTTGCTATTCTCCTACCCACATTCATACAATGGTTTCTGAATGTCTAGATTGATATTCTGAAAGTACATTTTGCACAGCAGTTGATGAAAATACAACATTCTTGGCACAGAAAACCTATCTTTAATCACACTGGCTCTTATCTTCGGGAAAAAATTCTAATGAATGTGGAAAATTGTATTTTTACGCGGGTTGCATAGTACGTGTAATAATGACGATTATGATTTAAATTTCTCTGTTTGCTTACACTGCCTTTTTATCATAAATTTTCCTCTGGATCACAAAAATATTATGAAGATCTGAACCTTTCTGCCCGAAGTAAATCGAGAAAAGTCTTCTCTCTGATACTGACTAGGTTCTTATATTATTAATTTGGACACTGACGTCCACCCTCATCCTCTTCCTCCCCCCAACCCAACAATTATAGAAACACTTTATTTTTTAAAACTCACTACACCTGAAACAAAGAAACGAAAAAAGAAACGTATAGTATTAGAAAGCCTGAAAAAAATAATTCACAGAAGAGGACAAAAAAAAGAAATTTCCTACATCCAAATAATTCAAACGGTCTTTGATTGTTTTGGTTTCCACGTGAGTTCGTTCATTCAGTTATCCTTTTCGTTACATCAGTTCACTTATCTTCCAACCAAGCTTTATTTATGCTGTAGTTCTTGTTTGTCTGAGGAGAAAAAATCATGTTTATTCCCATAGGCCCTACCTACGCGTATTTTATTTGACTACCCCTATTTCGCCGAAAATAAGTCCAGCTGAGGTATAAACATGTTTACACGGTGCTAAAAATCTGCACGAATCGGGATAATATTTCTGAAATCCACATCATCCAAGTTACACGCTGATTATAGAATGTATCTGCAGGTTTCCCGCTACTAACTTTGCTGTTACCCTTGTATTGTAAGTCTTAACCTTAGCATTAAACTGTATTTTGGTGACGTTGAAATGTGCATCTTGTGATGAAGCTTTGTTGTTGGGACGGTGTAAAAATCGAAACTTGTCAAAATGTGGGTTAAGTGGATTGTTTGCGACAGTGACAATAATATGATATAATGACATTTGGTGCCTGTACGATCGTTGTTTTAAAGAATTAATCGGGGTCTCGACAGCTTTCCGAAAAAGTTCAAATTCAATCAAATAAGTCG